GGTAGTACACTTTTTTCCATGGCACTAATGTCGTTTAAGAGGGCTTGTTTTTCCCCGTCAGACAATTCACAATTGAAGAAAAAACCCATCTAATTTCGGTTTTGAGCTTAGAAAAATGACTGTCATTAACCTGCAAAGCTTTTTCTCTTTAGAAACTATCATTCAACTCAATGACAGGTACTTTTATCTTCTTCAAGGAAGACATTCATTACTTCTTCCATTATGTTAACCTTTACGATAATGTTACCAGGTTCTCTCCTGGATGCAAGAACTTGATTGCTTCTGAACATGCCAGGGCTGGAGGAGGATGTACTGGAGATATTATTGGTGTCATTTTCACACAACACAGACCCCGACACGTACACACACACACACACACACACACACACACACACACGTACACACACACACACACACACACACACACACACACACACACACACACACACACACACACACACACACACACACACATACACACACACACACACACACACACACACACACACACACACACACACACACACTCCTGTCTGACCAGTTTCTGGTTACTCGAGATATTATTTGTGTCATTTTCACACAACACAGATCCCAATACACACATACACTCCTGACTGACCAGACTTGAGATATTATTTGTGCCACTTTCACACATCACTTACCCCAATACACATACGACATCCTGCCATCTGGTTACCATGGCGTGACTATGCTGGTTAAAAATGCAGGCTAATTTCCAAAAATGGACATCAAAGGTTGGAGCACTTGGACAATTGTTTTGCACCTGAGAAAGACGCAGACAAATTTCCATATTGGGCTTTGTCTGCCTCTCCATCCTGAGTCCTGGTCTGGATGAGGAGAATGTCTTTGATGTAAGACGAGATCGGATGCTGCTGTGTCTACTTTCTCCCCCATGGCAGGCGACTTGTAGAATTACACACGCTGGCTTTGCTCAGCCTTCGTTCCAATTGCTTGGTTTGGCGAGAAATTACTCGACAGCAATTGCAAGTTTTAAGGGATGTTATTATTACAGCATACGTCCATTTGGTTTCTCATTTCTCTGCAGCCATGAGGGCAGAATCGCTTTCCATTGCAGATGTAGAGTTGTAGTTAGAAAATCTTTCTCATTGTTTTTGCTGTCATTTTTTGTGTGGAATTGTGGATCTTTAGTTGACACATCCAACCTCAGAATGATTAGACGAACAATTTCTTTTTCTGCTGACTAGGAAGCAATAAGTCCTTGGGCTTCCCGAGACCGCATCTGATATTTTCTGAATGGTGGGATTGACAGGGACACCATGTTCTGCATATTGCATTAAGTCTCTGGGAGGGTTTTCATTACAACTGGCCGCAGGTCAAGTGTGTGATGTGTATGTTGGACATGTGTCACGCTTCAGGTCAAGTGTGTGATGTGTATGTTGGACATGTGTCACGCTTCAGGTCAAGTGTGTAGGATGTGTATTTTGGACATGTGTCACGCTTCAGGTCAAGTGTGTAGGATGTGTATGTTGGACATGTGTCACACTTCAGGTCAAGTGTGTGATGTGTATGTTGGACATGTGTCACGCTTCAGGTCAAGTGTGTAGGATGTGTATGTTGGACATGTGTCACACTTCAGGTCAAGCAAACAATGTAAACCCCATGAAACGTTTTGTTTTCTAGACTTTCTGACATGTACAATTCAGTATTGAATCCTGCATAACACAAAATATATTAGAACTATAATAAACTGTGTCATTTTACCATGCCACTCTCTATAGTTGTGATGAATTTTCATGACCCCCTCCCTTGTTTGCTGTCATTGTTTCATGCCACTCTCTATAGTTGTGATGAATTTTCATGACTCACTCCCCCGTTTGCTGTCATTGTTTCATGCCACTCTCTATAGTTGTGATGAATTTTCATGACCCCCTCCCTCGTTTGCTGTCATTGTTTCATGCCACTCTCTATAGTTGTGATGAATTTTCATGACCCCCTCCCTCGTTTGCTGTCAATGTTTCATGCCACTCTCTATAGTTGTGATGAATTTTCATGACCCCATCCCTCGTTTGCTGTCATTGTTTCATGCCACTCTCTATAGTTGTGATGAATTTTCATGACCCCCTCCCTCGTTTGCTGTCATTTTTTCATGCCCTTCCCCCCCCTTAATTTCACTGGAGCCCCCTCCCCTATAATAGATGGCCAGTCCCTAAATAGTCCACCTCCATGTTCAGGCACAAGCAGTGTCAAGCACAGGAGTAGATACAATAGAATGATGGTTTAATTGGTAATCTCTGTACCTCAATACAAGCCACTAGACTCTGATCTGGAATATTAGCACAATTGTCTGAGATCTCAAAATGAAAATATTTGCTGATCATTTTCAGCAGTGCTTATGGCTGTATTTCAACATCATCCCTGCTGTATTCATACAAGTAATTAAATTGGTCCTCTTCATCTTGAAGCAGGTTTTAATACACCAGTACATAAAACAAGTAATTAAGTTCATCTGCCTCAAATATTGACATCTCTATGTTCAGAAAGTATTTTTCTCAAATACAAGGCATGTTTTCCATTCATTGCATTACATTTTGATTAGAATAATAAAATCAATAATCCTAGGAAACAGTGTAATTACTTCTACAGCCTGATATTCTCCTGCAGATGCCTACGGTCCACTCTATAGACCACATCAAAGATAAGAATGATATAAAGCATTATCTCGTTATTCTGAAGTAGAATTCTTTTACCAGTATCCATTTGTATTTAGACTCACATCAGTATAATACATTGGGAACATCTGGGCAGTCCAGGCTGTATCTGTCCACTGGTCTGGGGACATTACTTGACTAATGTCTTCAGTTCATGAGGCCATTTCCTGAAAGCTTATGAGTGCTGTTCATTCATGGTGATTTGTTGCAAAGTGAGTACTCCGCTAATCATGATGGTGACCCACATAAGTCTACCGATCTTTCTTACTGAACTGGAAAGGACCCTGCTACTCTTCGCAGTATTCCAAATCAATGCACAATACCCAATACTGGTCACGAGAACTCATGTCAGCTCACAGAGTCAACATTTCAGACATAATTGACCACCGATTCATAGACGCATAAGTAATTAGAATACATTGGTGGATGATCATTTGTGTGTTTGAATAAGACTTTGCTATTCAGACCTAGCGCCCCAGTCATCGTCCGCAGCGCCAAATTGATACTGATAGCGTCTCTTGACCGTAATGGCCCAGCTATAATCACCGCCTGATGCACGGACATGCTGTCTATCACTGCCAGCCTTCCATGTGCCAAGGGAAAGTAATGAAATTATTGCGTGGGACTTCTGAAATATTTCTGTTTCTTTAAAGGAACAGGACCTGAGATTAAAGGTTCTTTGAGTGTATGTACATGCAGTGGATAGTTCTATCCCTTGCAAGTCTGCCGTCTCATATGTCCAGTTAAAGGGAACTTGGAAGAAACAGCCTTAGGATTCCATTGCAAATTTACATCCAAGTGCTCCATGCTTGTCTCCCCTTGGTTGTGGGTAGCCTAGTGGCTGACATGCTTGTCACAGGCAAAAAGTGAGTTTTAGGTATGTAAATGTTAGACCTTCAGAACACTGGTTGTACCATATTTTTTTTATCAGGAATAATATATTCCAATATCTTGTTAATTTAGATGCAGCTTTTACTAAACATATTTAAAATAATTATAACCCTAAGCGAAGCAGCTGATCGCTATTGCCGGGTGTTATTTTTTACATGGAACCAGTCTGACCATTCACCATCAAGGCTCCCGTGCACATGATCGCGTGATTGCGAGAATTACGTGTTGACATAGAATCGTCCAACAAAAACAAATGTGACTTTTAAGGATTCAAAGTATGGCATTTATGATATATGTATCCATTCTCTGTCAACTAAAGTTCGTTTCAAGGCGTCAATAGCGGTAATCTGACTGTGGTTGCTATTAATAACGGTGAGTTGTGCGATCTTCCGATCGCTTCACACACGATTTCGCCGAAATTAATTAAAACAATATTAAAAGGAATTTTAAATAACATTAATGAAATAAGTTACAAACATAAGTCCAGATATACAAAGAACACTTTTTATAGCCAGACAGTGTAATTACTTCAGTATGGTTTTGTTGACATGGTATTTCCGGTGTTACGTGCTCACGGTAATGTCTTTCCATGGGGGGAAAAAACATCAAAACTCATAATTCGTGTATAATGCACACCCCCTTCTACACAGCTGTGTATTTTGGAAAAAAAGTGTGCACTATACTCAAGAAAATACGGTATTTTATCTGGTGTTTAATGCTTAAACTGAATAAGTTAATAAAGTTAATTTTTTTGCATTTTTGCTGTTCCGGCCTTGATAAAGCTTGTATTTTACTAACAACATCAATGGTCACGTTGTCTGAGGTGTCACAAGTTGTTGTGCAGAGTTGCATTTCTTAGGGCTCCTACGATTGTGTGTTTGAATCCCAATCGGTTTCTGCCATGGAGTCACAGGGGTTTATCCAAGGTCCTTTCAAATGGGCATGTCAGTGAGCCGACAAGCAAGGAATAGAATTATCCACTACATCAAGCATGTCTAAGACCTGCATCACATTGGGCTTCCCTCCCCATGAAGCTGACATTCCATGAGATTTATTGTACACAGCACCATTAAACCCAACTCCCTCACTCACGCCACCTTACGTAGTCACTTCATGTGTAAACGCCCCCGGGATGGTGGCATTAATCATTGCAAACATTGATTCTTGGTTGATGTTTTTTGTCTACAATTGCAATTTTTCTGTGTTATTTTCTTCGAATCTCTGAGTGAACATGGTTGTTGACATAAAACCTGAAAATATGAAACAGTGCAGTGTATGTTTGATATTGGCTGCAGCAGAGAAAGCTGTTCATGTGTTAGCATCCTCAGCGTGTCTGCAGAACATGGCCAGCAGGATATTAATATTATCTTGTATTATCCGCTCGGTGTTATGAAAGTAATAAAGGTGTGTTTGTTTCAGGACTACAGCGCTGAAATCAGCAAGGTGATGCGAGACAGCATCAACAATGTGGCCAACTACCAGGACCACATCAAGTAAGTTGACTCACTCACTCACTCGTTCACTCACTCACTCACTCACTCATATATACCTGGTATAGCCTTCCATGATTCTTGACATCCAGTCTTGTGGCGCCTTCCTTATTTTTAACATCCTGTGAGGGATCTTTTATGGCACATGTATAATATACCTGGTATAGCCTTCCATGATTCTTGACATCCTGTGATGGATCATTTGTGGCACATGTATAATATACCTGGTATAGCATTCCATGATTCTTGACATCCTGTCTTCTGTCGCCATCCTTATTTTTGACATCCTGTGAGGGATCATTTGTGGCACATGTATAACATACCTGGTATAGCCTTCCATGATTCTTGACATCCTGTAAGGGATCATGTGGCACATGTATAATATACCTGGTATAGCCTTCCATGATTCTTGACATCCTGTGAGAGATCATTTGTGGCACATGTATAATATACCTGGTATAGCCTTCCATGATTCTTGACATCCTGTGAAGGATCATTTGTGACACATGTATAATATACCTGGTATAGCCTTCCATGATTCTTGACATCCTGTGAGGGATCATTTGTGACACATGTATAATATACCTGGTATAGCCTTCCATGATTCTTGACATCCTGTGAAGGATCATTTGTGACACATGTATAATATACCTGGTATAGCCTTCCATGATTCTTGACATCCTGTGAAGGATCATTTGTGACACATGTATAATATACCTGGTATAGCCTTCATGATTCTTGACATCCTATTATGGAGGAGGATCTCTTGACGACATCGATGCCAAAGTTACACATTGAATGACTGTCCACCATCACGGTCAACCTACAAGCAGACTTTGTCCGTCTGTCACATTTTATCACTGAGCTAGTAAATATGGCAGATTTTGTTTACTATGGGTTACAGATATATTGGTGAAAATACATGGTCTGTAGGTGGAAAAATATCATAATTTAAGGCATTTAAGAATTTCTTTGAGTCCTACTAAGTTGAGAACTTTCTTTTTTTAGTTTCCTTCTTCATACTCAAGTTAATTATCTCCATGAATTTATTGAATTTATGTAATATTACTGGAAATTGATTTTATGATCAATGTTCTTTGTTTGGAAATTGAAACCAATTAATTATGGCTGAAATCGATGATATGGAAGTACACCACAAATTACTGGAACAAAGAATCTCAAGGACAAAACAGACACTCGTGTGAAGAATTCACAGTTATGTTTTTACACAGAAGTAAACCTGCTACATGTTGCCTTACATATTACCATCAGCATATTAATTATTTTGCTTTCAATGCAAGAAAGGAACATTCCATTAATTGAAAATCAGCTGAAATAAAGTCAGGTGTGTTTATTTATGTGAATATTTGTGTCAGGAAATCTTTGTCATAAAAAACCAAATTCCATTTCATGTCATCTTTTGAGAAATCATAGGAATATTTATTAGTTCTGTATATTTGATCTTCAGAGAAGCTATTTCTGAACATGTTGCAAAACTAGACGATCTTTTGATGTAACTCTGTTTGAAGAAATATGAGCAAGTTTTCAGATAGAATGACACTGAGGTCTTTGAACTGCTTCTCCATTTGATGGTCATTAGACTTTAATGTACAACGTCTGGGTGAGTGAGTGAGAGCTAGGTTTAACACCGAATTGGACACTATTCCAGTTGTATCACTGCATTTCAGCTTGATGTGAGAGGAAAGCCTGAAGTGATGCAGGTCTCAGACGTTTACCACTTCGGTGAAACCCACGAGGACTGTCCATGGTGCTAACAAACCTAGAAACACTATCGGGGCTAACCAGGATTTGACCCACGATCATAGTATTTTTGCATGCCCTAGTTGCACAGCAGGCTGCAGAACCTTAAATGACATGGCCACCTGTTCTCCAATATACCTTCTGAATAGATACCTGATGACAGGACCCGTGAAGATCCAGGCTAGAATAGGTCTTCAGCAAACCATGCTTGCCCTAAAAGGCGACTATGCTTGTCGTAAGAGACGACTGGATCGGGTGGTCAGGCTCGCTGACTTGGTTGATGCATGTCATCGATCCCAATTGGGTGGATCAATGTTCCTGATGGCAATCACTGGATTGTCTGGTCCAGACTCGATTATTTACAGACTGCCATCATATAGCTGGAATATTGCTGAGTGTGGCGTTAAACAACAAACCAACCAGCCTGATGACAGTCCCTATGGAGACCAAGTGACAGTCTGTATGGACACAGTGACAGTCTGTATGGACACAGTGACAGTCTGTATGGAGACACGGTGACAGTCTGTACCGACTCAGTGACAGTCTATATTGAGCCCCAGTGACAGTCTGTATGGAGACACAGTGACAGTCTGTATGGACACAGTGACAGTCTGTATGGACACAGTGACAGTCTGTACCGACTCAGTGACAGTCTGTATGGAGCCCCAGTGACAGTCTGTATGGAGACACAGTGACAGTCTGTATGGAGACACAGTGACAGTCTGTATGGAGACACAGTGACAGTCTGTATGGAGACACAGTGACAGTCTGTATGGAGACACAGTGACAGTCTGTATGGACACAGTGACAGTCTGTATGGAGACCCAGTGACAGTCTGTATGGAGACACGGTGACAGTCTGTACCGACTCAGTGACAGTCTATATGGAGCCCCAGTGACAGTCTATATGGAGCCCCAGTGACAGTCTGTATGGAGACACGGTGACAGTCTGTATGGAAACTCAGTGACATGTATTGAAACTTAATTCTGATTGGCTGCCACTTAAAGCTTTACAGGATTCTTAGACATCATGTTTCCACCTCTCCACAAGGCTGATATAACTTGTATTTTATTGTCAAGGGACAATGTTCTAACAGTACAGTGCAATTTCTATTATTTTGATTTCGACAGACTGAATCATGCATCACGACTGATGCAAAGTAGAAATTATATGGCATATTTTCTAGGTCTCATTATCTCAGCTATTTATCATGTCAATTCAATATTAAGGATTGGAACTTTTTCTTGTCTTCTTTTGTCCACAAAATAATCCCTGATGACATGTTTGCAGTGATAATATTTTTTTTAAACTGTGATAGAAACTTGCGAAAAAAAATGTTTTAGAAAAGTAAACAGTAACGTGTTTGGATTGCCTGCTGACTGAAAGGCAAACCTTCCCTGGAGCCTTGGAAAAACAAAACCTTTGATGAAAACTGACTTGAGACAAGCGCGGAACTCTCTGGACAGAATCCTAGTACTAGCATCGTCCTTGGTGGGAGTTTATGTAAGATGACTTCCTTGATGTTGAAGTGTACAACAGAAGAACTGGACAACAATGAGGGAATTAAACTGAGTGTAAGAAAGAGAAAAGATCTGATCAGGCAGATTGTTATCCCTGTTCCTGCAAAGAAATAAAAAACTTCGGCAGTGGTGTCTATATATAGATAGAGGCTGAGTACTCGCTCGCAGGAGACCGATCACTGCTTCATTACCCAGTGAGGTTTTCCACTGAGCGATAAATGTGGGACACTGTATGACATGTTAAACTGTGGCATGGTAACCTAAAAAAGAACGGCATTAATCCAGAATACTACACGCACGCACACACGCACGCACACATGCACGTTATATAAGTGCAATAATCTTAATTGCAATGTTAAACCCATTTCCTTTTCACCTCACCTCACCTCACCTCACCTCACCTCACCTCACCTCACCTCACCTCACCTCACTTATTTTATTGTGTTAGCCTCCTGAGATACCATGCCTAAGTTTAACATGAATACCCTACTCAGAAACAGTATACTGACTCCAAGCCGACCAGTCCTTGTTTAAGCCCCTTAATGCCGAGCACCAGGCAGGGTAACAACAAGTACCGTTTTTTAAACGTCTTTTGGTATGACACGGTCATGGATTGGACCCCAAACCTTTCATGTATGTGTGACACTGTGTGACATTTTTCACTGTATCATCATGTATGACAGTGCATGGAACAGTTTGACAGTGCATCATGTATGACAGTTTGACAGTCTCACACATTCACACAAACCTTGGGCTGACAGTGTAACACAAGTGTGACTATATGTATCACATTCTTCCTTCTGTTTCAGAACCATCACCAGAAAGATTCTGCTGTCAGGCCTCGGCGGAACCAACCAGATGATCGACTATGTCGACTCTTTCTGGAAGTCTTACTACTTCAACTCCCTCAGAGAGAAGAAATATTCTGTCCAACTCTCCTATCCACAATAGTGAGTAGTCAGTGCTGGTGGTCCAGAGACGAATGGCAGACAAATCTGACTTTTTGTTGCCTCTGGTGCCAGACTTCTTTTGATAATTTGAGTGGCTTTGGTCCTCCTACACCCGAATTTCTTGACGATATCGCTATCGGGAAATAAGACCGTCGCTATCTTCATGAAGTGGTCAGCGACCGCCATTGGGAGATTGTGTTGCGCTATGAAATTACAGAACATGACTTCAGATTTCACAACATTGTCTGCACTGGCCTTCAATGAAGTCTTCGTAGTGCCATTGGTTTTTGTTTCTTTCGTTCAAACACAATCCGCTGGTGAAGTTTAGACTTTTAGACCTCTATTTTTCTCTTGAAAAAAATTAAAGAATTTTGGTAAGAAATCCATAGTGATTGAGCAATACGCCCGACTTTTTTTCAACACTTAAAATCTGTAGTATGTACGGGCAAACTGTACTGGTTGACATGTATGATGTCTCATGATAAGATTGACTCTTGATTACAGTATCAGACCAATTGCAAATTGATATATATATATAAGATGTATTGCAATTAAACTTGATCGAGGTCCAGATCCTGATTCTAACTCAGGTACATTGTGTGCAGCCCATTTCTGGTGTCCCTATTATGATATTAATGGGACATTTGCTATAACCAGCAAAAAACCCCACTCACTGGGTTTGGGTGAACCTTCCTTGGGAGCATGTCATTTTTTCGATGCCTGGACTGTTCACACATGTAGTGTCTCCTTGGGCAAGTGACTTCGTTCGAAATGTCCCTCTGTTCACCCGGCAGTGAGTGGGTACCCGGTAGGATGAGATGGTTGTTAACCTTCTGGCGCCAAACATCCAGCTTGAATTGTATACTCCCAGGGAGCTGAGAGTGGATGTTGAGTGCACACTGATCCAGTGACTTTGGTAATACAGTAAACTACGGTTATAATGAACTCAAAGGGACCTCTAATCTTAGTTCGAAATAACCGTAGTGCGTTATAAGCATTTGTACACCATATATGCAACAAATGGCCGGGACTAAAAAATAAGTTTGTTATATCGGTCAGTTCGTTATAAGCGTGTTTGTTATAAACGTAGTTTACTGTGATAGCGCTTTAAGCATGCCACTGTGTGGTGTGGAAATGTGTGCAATGTAAGTGGCCTATTATTATTATTATTATCATTATTATTATTATTGTTCTTGTTGTTCTTGTTATCATTACTATCTCCCCATCCAGTGAGAAGGATACAGTGAGTGAGCTGCGTGTCGTGGACAGCAACAACACGGTGTACTTCCACTACCACAACAACATGACCAACGAGAGAGTCGAGTACTTGCCATTCAATGCCTATGCAAAGTCAGGGAACATAACAGTGAGTATAGCTTAGTGGAGTCCTCAGTTTCCAGCACCTCATGCTTGTCTCTCTGAGGAGATTCCATGTCAGAATAGGTCCCAAACACCTCATGCTTGTCTCCCTGTGGAGATTCCATGTCAGAATAGGTCCCCAACACCTCATGCTGGTCTCCCTGTGAAGATTCCATGTCAGAATAGGTGCCCAGTACCTCATGCTGGTCTCCCTGTGGAGATTCCGTGTCAGAATAGGTCCCCAACACCTCATGCTGGTCTCCCTGTGGAGATTCCGTATCAGAATAGGTCCCCAACACCTCATGCTGGTCTCCCTGTGGAGATTCCATGTCAGAATAGGTCCCCAACACCTCATGCTGGTCTCTCTGTGGAGATTCCATGTCAGAATAGGTCCCCAACACCTCATGTTGGTCTCCCTTTGGAGATTCCATGTCAGAATAGGTCCCCAACACCTCATGCTGGTCTCCCTGTGGAGATTCCGTGTCAGAATAGGTCCCCAGCACCTAATGTTGGTCTCCCTGTGGAGATTCCGTGTCAGAATAGGTCCTCAACACCTCATGCCTGTATCCCTGCGGAGATTCCATGTCAGAATAGGTGCCCAGTACCTCATGCTGGTCTTCCTGTGGAGATTCCATGTCAGAATAGGTCCCCAACACCTCATGCTGGTCTCTCTGTGGAGATTCCGTATCAGAATAGGTCCCCAACACCTCATGCTGGTCTCCCTGAGGATTCCTTGTCAGAATAGGTCCCCAGTACCTCATGCTGGTCTCCCTGTGGAGATTCCGTGTCAGAATAGGTCCCCAACACCTCATGCTGATCTCCCTGTGGAGATTCCATGTCAGAATAGGTCCCCAACACCTCATGCTGGTCTCCCTGTGAAGATTCCATGTCAGAATAGGTCCCCAACACCTCATGCTGGTCTCCCTGTGAAGATTCCATGTCAGAATAGGTCCCCAACACCTCATGTTGGTCTCCCTGTAGAGATTCCGTGTCAGAATAGGTCCCCAACACCTCATGCTGGTCTCCCTGTGGAGATTCCATGTCAGAATAGGTCCCCAACACCTCATGCTGGTCTCCCTGTGGAGAATCCGTATCAGAATAGGTCCCCAACACCTCATGCTGGTCTCCCTGTGGAGATTCCATGTCAGAATAGGTCCCCAACACCTCATGTTGGTCTCCCTTAGGAGATTCCATGTCAGAATAGGTCCCCAACACCTCATGCTGGTCTCCCTGTGGAGATTCCTTGTCAGAATAGGTCCCCAACACCTCATGCTGGTCTCCCTGTGGAGATTCCGTGTCAGAATAGGTCCCCAACACCTCATGCTGGTCTCCCTGTGAAGATTCCATGTCAGAATAGGTCCCCAACACCTCATGTTGGTCTCCCTGTGGAGATTCCGTGTCAGAATAGGTCCTCAACACCTCATGCCTGTATCCCTGCGGAGATTCCGTATCAGAATAGGTCCCCAACACCTCATGCTGGTCTCCCTGTGAAGATTCCATGTCAGAATAGGTCCCCAACACCTCATGCTGGTCTCCCTGTGGAGATTCCATGTCAGAATAGGTCCCCAACACCTCATGTTGGTCTCCCTGTGGAGATTCCGTGTCAGAATAGGTCCCCAACACCTCATGCTGGTCTCCCTGTGGAGATTCCATGTCAGAATAGGTCCCCAACACCTCATGCTGGTCTCCCTGTGGAGAATCCGTATCAGAATAGGTCCCCAACACCTCATGCTGGTCTCCCTGTGGAGATTCCATGTCAGAATAGGTCCCCAACACCTCATGTTGGTCTCCCTTAGGAGATTCCATGTCAGAATAGGTCCCCAACACCTCATGCTGGTCTCCCTGTGGAGATTCCATGTCAGAATAGGTCCCCAACACCTCATGCTGGTCTCCCTGTGGAGATTCCGTGTCAGAATAGGTCCCCAACACCTCATGCTGGTCTCCCTGTGAAGATTCCATGTCAGAATAGGTCCCCAACACCTCATGTTGGTCTCCCTGTGGAGATTCCGTGTCAGAATAGGTCCTCAACACCTCATGCCTGTATCCCTGCGGAGATTCCGTGTCAGAATAGGTCCCCAACACCTCATGCTGGTCTCCCTGTGAAGATTCCATGTCAGAATAGGTCCCCAACACCTCATGTTGGTCTCCCTGTGGAGATTCCGTGTCAGAATAGGTCCCCAACACCTCATGCTGGTCTCCCTGTGGAGATTCCATGTCAGAATAGGTCCCCAACACCTCATGCTGGTCTCCCTGTGGAGAATCCGTATCAGAATAGGTCCCCAACACCTCATGCTGGTCTCCCTGTGGAGATTCCATGTCAGAATAGGTCCCCAACACCTCATGTTGGTCTCCCTTAGGAGATTCCATGTCAGAATAGGTCCCCAACACCTCATGCTGGTCTCCCTGTGGAGATTCCTTGTCAGAATAGGTCCCCAACACCTCATGCTGGTCTCCCTGTGGAGATTCCGTGTCAGAATAGGTCCCCAACACCTCATGCTGGTCTCCCTGTGAAGATTCCATGTCAGAATAGGTCCCCAACACCTCATGTTGGTCTCCCTGTGGAGATTCCGTGTCAGAATAGGTCCTCAACACCTCATGCCTGTATCCCTGCGGAGATTCCGTATCAGAATAGGTCCCCAACACCTCATGCTGGTCTCCCTGTGAAGATTCCATGTCAGAATAGGTCCCCAACACCTCATGCTGGTCTCCCTGTGGAGATTCCATGTCAGAATAGGTCCCCAACACCTCATGTTGGTCTCCCTGTGGAGATTCCGTGTCAGAATAGGTCCCCAACACCTCATGCTGGTCTCCCTGTGGAGATTCCATGTCAGAATAGGTCCCCAACACCTCATGCTGGTCTCCCTGTGGAGAATCCGTATCAGAATAGGTCCCCAACACCTCATGCTGGTCTCCCTGTGGAGATTCCATGTCAGAATAGGTCCCCAACACCTCATGTTGGTCTCCCTTAGGAGATTCCATGTCAGAATAGGTCCCCAACACCTCATGCTGGTCTCCCTGTGGAGATTCCTTGTCAGAATAGGTCCCCAACACCTCATGCTGGTCTCCCTGTGGAGATTCCGTGTCAGAATAGGTCCCCAACACCTCATGCTGGTCTCCCTGTGAAGATTCCATGTCAGAATAGGTCCCCAACACCTCATGTTGGTCTCCCTGTGGAGATTCCGTGTCAGAATAGGTCCTCAACACCTCATGCCTGTATCCCTGCGGAGATTCCATGTCAGAATAGGTCCCCAACACCTCATGCTGGTCTCCCTGTGAAGATTCCATGTCAGAATAGGTCCCCAACACCTCATGCTGGTCTCCCTGTGAAGATTCCGTATCAGAATAGGTCCCCAACACCTCATGCTGGTCTCCCTGTGAAGATTCCATGTCGGAATAGGTCCCCAACACCTCATGCTGGTCTCCCTGTGAAGATTCCATGTCAGAATAGGTCCCCAACACCTCATACTGATCTCCCTGTGAAGTTTCCATGTCAGAATAGGTCCCCAACACCTCATGCTGGTCTCCCTGTGAAGATTCCATGTCAGAATAGGTCCCCAACACCTCATGCTGGTCTCCCTGTGAAGATTCCATGTCAGAATAGGTCCCCAACACCTCATGCTGATCTCCCTGTGAAGATACCGTGTCAGAATAGGTCCCCAACACCTCATGCTGATCTCCCTGTGGAGATTCCGTGTCAGAATAGGTCCCCAACACCTCATGCCTGTATCCCTGCGGAGATTCCATGTCAGAATAGGTCCCCAACACCTCATACTGGTCTCCCTGTGAAGATTCCATGTCAGAATAGGTCCCCAACACCTCATGCTGGTCTCCCTGTGAAGATTCCGTATCAGAATAGGTCCCCAACACCTCATGCTGGTCTCCCTGTGAAGATTCCATGTCAGAATAGGTCCCCAACACCTCATGCTGGTCTCCCTGTGAAGATTCCATGTCAGAATAGGTCCCCAACACCTCATGCTGGTCTCCCTGTGGAGATTCCATGTCAGAATAGGTCCCCAACACCTCATGCTGGTCTCCCTCTGGAGATTCCATGTCAGAATAGGTCCCCAACACCTCATGCTGGTCTCCCTGTGGAGATTCCTTGTCAGAATAGGTCCCCAACACCTCATGCTGATCTCCCTTTGGAGATTCCATGTCAGAATAGGTCCCCAACACCTCATGCTGGTCTCCCTGTGAAGATTCCATGTCAGAATAGGTCCCCAACACCTCATGCTGGTCTCCCTGTGGAGATTCTGTGTCAGAATAGGTCCCCAACACCTCATGCCTGTATCCCTGCGGAGATTCCGTGTCAGAATAGGTCCTCAACACCTCATGCCTGTATCCCTGCGGAGATTCCGTATCAGAATAGGTCCCCAACACCTCATGCTGGTCTCCCTGTGAAGATTCCATGTCAGAATAGGTCCCCAACACCTCATGCTGGTCTCCCTGTGGAGATTCCATGTCAGAATAGGTCCCCAACACCTCATGTTGGTCTCCCTGTGGAGATTCCGTGTCAGAATAGGTCCCCAACACCTCATGCTGGTCTCCCTGTGGAGATTCCATGTCAGAATAGGTCCCCAGCACCTCATGCTGGTCTCCCTGTGGAGAATCTGTATCAGAATAGGTCCCCAACACCTCATGCTGGTCTCCCTGTGGAGATTCCATGTCAGAATAGGTCCCCAACACCTCATGCTGGTCTCCCTGTGGAGATTCCATGTCAGAATAGGTCCCCAACACCTCATGCTGGTCTCCCTGTGGAGATTCCTTGTCAGAATAGGTCCCCAACACCTCATGCTGGTCTCCCTGTGGAGATTCCGTGTCAGAATAGGTCCCCAACACCTCATGCTGGTCTCCCTGTGAAGATTCCATGTCAGAATAGGTCCCCAACACCTCATGTTGGTCTCCCTGTGGAGATTCCGTGTCAGAATAGGTCCTCAACACCTCATGCCTTTATCCCTGCGGAGATTCCATGTCAGAATAGGTCCCCAACACCTCATGCTGGTCTCCCTG